GTGGTTCTCCTGCACTGACATTTAAAATTACTCCATTTACAACAATTTGATCCATATGCCTCTTTCAGGTACTTAGATCTGAATGCTAGAAGCATCTGTAAGATTGCAGTGCTCAAAACACTATTCTACTATGTTAATCAAAGAAAAACATACCTGAACCAATTAAGTAAATGATAATTGAATTTCTCAGATCCATTATAATTATATCCCTTTTAGGGTCACTAATTTTTATTTTTTTTAATTTTTCTTATTATTTTTTAACATCTTTATTGGAGTATAATTGCCTTACAGTGGTGTGTTAGTTTCTGCTTTATAACAAAGTGAATCAGCTATACATATACATATATCACCATATCCCCTCCCTCTTGTGTCTCCCTCCCACCCTCCCTATCCCACCCTTCTAGGTGGTCACAAAGCACCAAGCTGATCTCCCTGTGCTATGTGGCTGCTTCCCACTAGCTATCTATTTTTCCTTTTTTAATTTTTTAACATCTCTGTTGGAGTATAATTGCTTTACAATGGTGTGTTAGTTTCTGCTTTATAACAAAGTGAATCAGTTATACATATACATATGTTCCCATATCTCTTCCCTCTTGCGTCTCCCTCCCTCCCACCCCTCTAGGTGGTCACAAAGCACCGAGCTGATCTCCCTGTGCTATTGGGCTGCTTCCCACTAGCTATCTATTTTACATTTGGTAGTGTATATATGTCAATGCCACTCTCTCACTTCGTCCCAGCTTACCCTTCCCCCTCCCCGTGTCCTCACGTCCATTTTCTATGTCTGTGTCTATATTCCTGTCCTGCTAGGGTCACTAATTTTTAAATGTTGTATTTTCATCCACTAGAACAGCTCATATTTGAGACCTACTTAGGTATTCATCTATTCATAAAATGAATGTTAGCACACATTTGTACACTTTTAGCACACTTGTTTCATTTATTTGTCATTTTTAAGTCCAAAGTGACTGTGATGCTGTTAAAACTAATACTAGCTTAATTTGCTCATCAGTGTTGTCCTGTTAGTTCCAAAAATGCCTTGGCATTGATCCATTAGCTGTATAAGAAGAATCTGTTTAATGAAATTTCTCAAGTTCCTCTTTGTTCCTTTATATCTAAAATTTCTCACCTTCTATGACACAGCATCAAATCTGCCCTGTATTTAGTCCTTCTGAGTTTATGGGATTCAACATGCAGCACTTCCTCAGAAGTGGTCTTACGTAAGTCATTGTGACAGGGCCTTTGGTAGTGCCGTGAGGGTCCTTGGGTGAGGAACTTTACAAATGAAGAAACAATGATAGAAGTACTCTTGATCATTTATTTTGCATGGGACTCACTCTGTTATAGCTAAGTAGTACCTCAATAAAGTCCAAATAAAATACCGAAACAAAATATTGGAATTTAAAACACTATTTCCTATAATCACTTGGACTAATAAGACAATCAGAGAAACTCCAGTGGCTTGAATTAAATTACTGCTCTGCTGTGAATCCATGGCCCCACTCAGCCTCCTGAAGCCAGAGAGGCCACTGGAGTAGGAATTCGATTATGCCACTACTGAAAATTAGGTAGTATGTTTCCAGATTCCACCAACAGATGGTTCCTTTAAGCATTCACCTCAGGAGCTTCACGGTGGTCACCTCCACTAGGAAGCCATCTTTTTTTTTGTTTTGGCTGTACCACCGCTCAGCTTGTGGGATCTTAGTTCCTCAACCAGGGAGTGAACCCAGGTCCTCGGCAGTGAAAGCACAGAGTCCTAACCACTGGACCGCCAGGGAATTCCCTAGGAAGTCATCCTTGACCCTCCCATCAATCCATTTCAGTTCAAGTGCCCCTCACAGCATCCTTATTTCTCCGTATCACATCATCCATCATGCACACTGCCACTGTGGTTGTAGGTACCCATTAACCACATAAGCCTGTGAATTCCTGATGTACAGCGACCTTGCTTTGAATTATGTTTCTTACCCCAGCACTCAGCATGGTAACTTGGCATACATTTCTTATCCCAGCACTTAACAAAATAACAGGACCTCAATACATGTTTGTTAAATACAGTCTTCTTTCCCTTCTTCCTTCCACAAATATTTATTGAGCACCAACTATGTGTCAGACACCATTCTGGGAACGGGAGATACAGCAGAGAACAAAACAGACCAAAGTCCCTTCTCTCATGAAGCTTGTATTCTAGTAGGGGGAGAAAGACAATTAACAACTAAAAAGTCTTAAGTATGTCCAGTCATTGAAGTATCATGAAGGAAACTAAAGTAAAGGAAAGGGGATAGAGAGATGTGAACAGACTTCTATTTTACACACAAATGGGCAACTGGCTCATTGAACAAGTGGGACTTGTAAGTAGGTACAATTAGAAAACAAATTTATTCTTCTTCCATCGCTGTCCATTCATAGTTACTTGGAGGGACTTATTCTTTTCTATGCTCTTTGATGAAATATAGGACAGGCTCCAGGACTTTTCTGGTCACTCTAAGATAATATATTGATAAAAACCTTCTTGCTACTTCTGTCTCAAGAAGAGCCTTTTTGAGGTAAGTAAAATGCCCAGTCCCATGTACTAGCCAAAACTTCATTTAAAATGAAAGATTCTCATTCCTCCACCTTGGGCATGTTTTAGTCTGGTCTGCTTCAGTTGGCTTCTTCTCAATTGTCCCCCTTGGACTTCTTCCTTATACACCAACTCATTCTGGCTCCTTGAGCGTTTAAGATGAGGGTGAGGGGACATGAGGAAGGACAGAAGCAAATGCAGGAAAAGTGGACATGTAATCTTGTTTTGGTTTCCTCTGGACGAGTCTGTGTCTGACCCTGTCTGGCACTGAAGGACGTTCAAAGCTGACTTTCTTAGGGTGTTCTAATAGAAGCTGAGAGCCTTTCTGGGAACATTCAATGGTATGTTCTGTGATGCAGGATGCCAATTTCTGCACTTAAATGTCCTGTCTTAGCCCATAGGAATACAGTCGATCCCTCTTCCATCCCTACATGAGGTGCTCTTGGGCAGGCTCTAAAATGGCTCCCTGTCATCTTTCTCTTTTACATGGCCCATATCTGATCCCCCAAAGCCACATCTGGGCCTGAATACTCACTTATCCTTGCCCCACCACTCATGTATATGTAGCTAGTTCCTCTATTTCTGCTCTGCTGCTTCAGACAGATCACCAGAGCCTCTTATCTATAACTTCACGAGGAACCCAAGGGGGTTTGCAGATGAGACTTACAGCACACCTTTTTCAAAATCCTGTCTCTATTTTCAAACTGAATTTTGGCTTTGCTGAATGTTGGGAAGCAGACCCAAGTTTGGTTCAGTAACATTCCTATCTAATACACACTGTAAACCTGGTAGAGGAACGACAAGGTTTCAATGACTATGAACGAAAGTCATAAAGAAGGTGAATATTATTTGTACATCCTCTATTAAACTAAGGCTTAACTGCTACAATGCATGGAATATAAGGAATGAATATTTGAGGTTCCTACACCTCATATTTCACTTCATCTCACTTCCTCCCATAATCCAGAGACCAAGAAGATTTTCACTTATCAAAAATAAATGTTTTTAAGAGTCAAAGATGCTAAGTGCATGCCAGGCAATGCCTGCCTTGCCCAACTTGTTCTTGTCCTCACCATGCTCAAGAAAGCAAGGGTAAGCTGGGTTTGGGAGAGCAGGGCAGAGTGGTTATTTTCTGAGTTGGGCATTGGCCTCTAGAGCTCCATCAATGTGCTGGCTAATGACCAATTAGGCAGCCTGGTGCAAAGGCAACAGGGCAGGGTTGAAACTGAGGAAACCATCAGAATGCCCCTGAGATTTAACCTGTGGGACAAGAGGAGAACAGAGCAGAGAGAAACAGAGACGCCAAGAGAGACTGTGTGTGTGTCAGATAGAGAGAAGAGAGAGAGACAGAGAGAACGCCTTGCTTTAGAGCCACCTTGGTTCCTGTAAGTGTCCTCGTTCCACATCCAGGCAGCCGTATTTTTATAATATATTCCCATTTTTCAGGCTATCCTTATTGTTCTCTGTCTATGGTAAACTATAACAGGAAGGGAGGAAACAGCATGGGCTCTGCTAAGCTAATTCATTCCCATCACCCTGGAGAACACAGAATTTTCTAGAACCATTCCCAAAGTAGAATTATGGATCTTCCTAGGCTTACCCTTTTTCAAAGTAGCCCAGACTTTTGGGGGCAGAATATGATATACAAACACAGTCTTCTCAACACATTCACATCCATCCTTGTCAAATTATCAGCTCTTCAGGCCCCCAGGCCATCCTATAAGGTTGAATTGAATCTTCAACTAGTCCCAAAACTCTTGACATTGTAGGACACAATTTGGGACTCTTTAGGGAGTTGAGTTCCTGCACACTGATTGAGCAGACACCTAAATAGCCAAGGAGTAACCCACAGCAATTCAAATAGGAAGTATCTATGCAATGGATACTCCTTTTGTAACTTAGCTGTACAAATGTTATGAGAATAATAACAGCATGTTTAAATTACTCACAATTCCATCCCCTTAAGACAAGTACAAAAGACCTGAAACCCAAAGAGATGGGTTCAGATTCTCACTCTTCCACTCCCTGGCTGGGTGACTTTGAGTAAATCACTTAACCTCTAGGAGATTCTCCCCAGTTGTAAAATAGAGATAATAATACCTACTTCACAGGGTGATGGTGAAGGTTAGAGGAGACATCTAGCAAGATGTTGCAGCTGCAGCAACAGCATCATAGCAATAATAATAATTTCTTGAGTACTTTCTATGTGGCAGGCATTGAGTTAAGCACTTTTTTGCTTTATTTTACTTAATTTTCCAATAACCTTATGAAGTGCACCCATTTTACAGGTAAGGTCACTGAAGCACACAGTGGCTAGGTCACCTGCCTAAGTTACTAACACAGCTATGAGGAGCACTGACAAAGTGCTCCTCCCTCTACTTTTTCATGTTTTACTAGGAGGAATATTCCGGACTTAAAGAAATTAGTAGCTACTACTTACTGGGGGTTCGTTGGTTCCAAGTCGCCAATATGTTGAATTACACAGTTTTTTCACTTCTTCAGGACCCTCTATATCATAATCTTTGGGATAAGTTTCTCTGTCACAGTGCCTTAAGAAAAAAATGAGAATCTGTTAAGGGATAAAGCTTATTTATCAGGTATTGCATTTGAACATTGTAAAAATTATGCAATGAAAATTTACTATATTTGTGACCTTGTTCTAATAATAAATTTACTGGATTTGGGACATGTATTTCCCATCTCTTTTCAAGTAATGCTGAGGCTACTTCCTAAAAACAATTTAGCACATGTGATAAAACTAATAGTATCACGAAAACAATACTTATCCAACACAGTAATTATTCAGTGACTTCAATGAAGTGAATCTTATTTAATAATGTAGATTAGTTACTGAAATAAATTCTAAAATAAGACATGTAGTATATTAGAAAGGCAACTTACCACTTTAGAAATTTTTCTACCATGAATTTTAATTACATTTTTTTTTCAAAACGAGAGCAAAATATTTACTCATATGGATTTATAACAGTGCTTCCTGCTCCGAAAGAGGGTCTAAAGGAAAAACAGTTCTTAAAACATGCAGAAGAAAGAGTAAAAAAATATTCTGAACGTCTTGACTGAAAGGGTGGTTGGATAATAATAAAGGAGGGATTTCGGGATAGGAAAGGAAAAAGGAGATGAAGTGGCCCACAACCGAAGTAGCTATTTTCGGAATAAATTCTAAAATAAGACATGTCTAAAATAAGACATATGTGTAATATTATTGTGTCTATCTAAAATATGCTTTGTTGGGTATTCTTAAATACCAGACAAATCCACATGCTCTCAACTTCTCTGGCCTCCTCCATCTTCAGTCCATGAACTCTTCATCTACTGTGGGAGAGGGCAGCCCAGCTCTTCATCTGTTCTTCCCAATCTATGGTGTAATCCTAAAACCTAAGCTTTTGAACTCCAAAGCCAAGAATTTGGCTCTTTTGCTGCCTGCTGGGTCATTCTTCCCTGAGGTAATAAAACCAGAACACCTCCCTAGGAGCATAGGAATGAAGGGGCAAAGCACCAGTTAACATTTCAATGTATTATTTCCAGGGCCCACCTCTTTTTTTTTTTTTTTTTAAACATCTTTATTGGAGTATAATTGCTTTACAGTGGTGTGTTAGTTTCTGCTGTATAACAAAGTGAATCAGCTGTACATATACATATATCTCCATATCTCCTCTCTCTTGAGTCTCCCTCCCACCCTCCCTATCCCACCCCTCTAGGTGGTCACAAAGCACCAAGCTGATCTCCCTGTGCTATGTGGCTGCTTCCCACTAGCTATCTATTTTACATTTGGTAGTGTATATATGTCCATGCTACTCCCCCACCTCTTTTTTAGGCACTGTAGGCACAGTGCCCAGGGCTTGTGATATTTTTAGGGGCCCAGGAGAGTGTTTTAATCATTTTTAAATCAGAAAAAAAAGAATATAATCCAGTTTGAATTATATCCATCTTTATACCAAAGCAGTCATAAACTATCATTTTAAACTTTTTTTTATTGGAGGAATTGGAGGCAAAGATAATTAGTGTCCATGAAAGTCAGAATGCAGCCTGATTATACCATCATGTATTTTAAGTTGTATTATAACTAGATTATTACAAAAAATTCAGTTATGTTCCTTTTCTCACCGCAATCTCAGATAACAGCCAAAAGCCCAGCATTAAAACATGAATCTATAATGAAACTCTGGAGGACTGAGCTAATGCAGTTGGCATTCCCTAATGCCTGCTAGCTGCCCACAAATGATGTGCCCACAGCCTGCAGGCTCTGAGAGATACACAGCTGAAGACCTGTCCCTACTTCACAGAGGCTGCCAGCCTAGCAAAAATAAACATACATGTTTAAAAAATTATAAAATATATAAAAAATGTTAAAATATATATTTACTATATCCTAAATATGTATTTGCTACATATAATAACAGTAAAAATGATTCACATATTATAAAGGAAACGGGAGGCCTAATTATTCCCTGACTTTATTATGTCAGTTGAACATTGGCTTGTGCCTCAGTTTCCCCAAGATGAACTGAGAATCATACACTGAGGACAAATCAATTGATTGAGAGTCTCAAGTGAAAAGTGACATAAAAATGCAAATATTATTATATGTAATAATATTGTGTCTATCTAAAATATGCTTTGTTGGGTATTCTTAAATACTTTGTCAATACCAATTAAGTTTTATAGCATCTTTGTAAGACAAATATATATATATACACATAAAAATAAAAATAATCTAGGTGTTACTTTTATATATATATATATATATATATATATATATATATATATATATACACATACACTTTATATAGCCTTGTTTGCCTTGCTACCTGCATTTATTTATGGTTGCCATGACTTCTCATTTACTGCAATAAAAATTCTTTACGGGAAAATAATGAATATAATGATATAAAATTTACAATGTCTCTAGAACAGTAACTTTCAAACTTATTGATAACAGACCCCACCTATATACCATTACAATCCACCCTGAGAGTTTGCCAGTGTCTGGAGACATTTTTAGTTGTTGCATCTGGGTGGGGTGGGTTGTTGCTGGCATCTAGTGGGTGGAGGCCAGCAATGCTGCTGAACATCCTACAGTGCACAGGACAGCCCACCACAACAAAGAAATATCTGATCCAAAATGTCAAAAGTACCAAGGTTGAGAAAGCTCTAGAGAATGACTGTGTACCAGATTCTTAGATCAGTGGTCCCCAAACCTTAGCATTTCATGGAGTAGCAAAACTTTACACTGAAATTTGTAAAACCAACCTAAAATTGCCAACATTTTGTCTTGACAGGAACATTAAAAATAAAATAACCATCTATCACCTTTAATAAGGAGACTTTTAACACCAAAGATAAGTAAAAACAATCTTAGAGTCTTTTAAGCTGAATAAATTTAGCTATATGAAAACCTTGCTACATTGCTACGCTATCTTTACAGTTTGTACATCACTTTGGATTAGTAAAAAAGGTCATTATTGACCAGCACTGGTCTAGTCTACAGACTGGATCTGCAGATATTAATTTTCCCCAGATATGAATTTGACAGCAGCAGTCAGTTCAAGGCTAAAGCAGCTTGAATATAGGTATTCTGTGCTACTAACTGAAGGGAGAGCTGTGTTTTTGATGTCAGGTGTGCAGACACAGGCTGACATTCTTGCTGGGAGGAGAGCCTCCAGGGCCTCCTACCAGCAGGGCCAGAATCTTCCTTGACAATCAGCCTTGCTTCTGCTGAGGACTTTGCTCTATCAAGCCCAAAGCTAAATGCTGTGGCTATTTCTTTATACGAGAAATCTTTACGTAAGACATCCTTAATTACAAGAAAGGAAATTTGCTTTCTCTACTCTACTGTGGGAGAAATAGTATGAATATGAATAGAATTACAAATGGGGCAAAGGCTGACAGGACAGGATCAGACCTGTCAATTGTATAAAAAGGAGCTTGGAACCAGGACCCTGCTGTCAAAAATGCCACTTGGACTGATTCAGAGAGGATTAAGGTCAATAGAATCTAGTAGGGCAAAGATAGCATGGGCAGGTCCCATTCTAGACAACTCCCCACCACCCATCCTACAATCACCTGAACACTCTAGATCCTGAATTTCCTGTCTCCTCCAGCCTAACATAGTCCCACGTAAAGCCTTGTGAAAAGCACTTTCTGGATCTGTATCTGGGGTCCTTTGGGAGCTTGAGTTTCCTACCATAAGAGTTGGATGATTTCACATCAAATCAAATCTGTAAGTTCCCCTTGACTGAACACATTTAAATCCTTAAGTGAGTTGCAGGACTAAACAAACAACTCCAGAGCATACTCAGATAGGGATCTGCAGCTCCCCTCAGGCTGCCCCAAGCCATCGTGGTCCAGTTCCCAGAGGAGGACAGGTGCGGTTAGACGACAGGGTTATCCTTGCAAAAGAGGAGACCAAGCTACTCTCTACAGTTTCTGTGGTCCCAAGACTAAGTGGGGGAAGCAAAGTGGGGATTTGCAAAGAAACCATTATCTTTATCACTTCTCCACCTTTCACATTTTAAAATAATTGTCCATTAATGAATCTTCCTTTTCATTAGACTAAGAATGTTTAGACACAGGGATCACTTTTTACTCATCTTTGTGATCTCAGTGCCTAACAAAGACTAACACGTTGTAAATGCTCATTAAATCTTAAATGATTGATTGATTGAATTTCTTACGTTTTGTTACTGTCACCTTAATATAAATGCTGAAAGCAATGGCTTTCAAATGTGTCCATAAAAATAAAGAGCATCCCAGCGTACTCTACAAAAGCACACATGAAAAAGGAGTGATTATGCATATAGAGATGCTAGTTCTTTGCAACAAAAACTTGTCTCTAGAGGAATTATAAATCTGCTTGCTGAATGGGAAAACTCTCAGCATACATATGCATGACACGGATTGCAAAGGGGGTGTGGATCCAAGCAATATCTGATATGTGAACAATGAAAATCGAGCTGAATTCTGGTTTCTGGTTACTTGACAAGAGACACATTTTCTTTGTGAATTTCAAAGATGTTAAAATTATGTTTAGTTGGGCTTCCCTGGTGGCGCAGCGGTTGAGAGTCTGCCTGCTGATGCAGGGGACACGGGTTTGTGTCCCGGTCTGGGAAGATCCCACATGCCGCGGAGCGGCTGGGCCCGTGAGCCATGGTGGCTGAGCCTGTGTGTCCGGAGCCTGTGCTCCGCAACAGGAGAGGCCACAACAGTCAGAAGCACGCGTACCGCAAAAAAAAAAAAAAAAAAAAAATTATGTTTAGTTAAGACTCCAGATGACAGAATATATTAAATTTTAGAATTATTAATGTAGTTCAAAACTACTGTGTCAGCTATTGTTATTTTCTGATGTAAATCTAAGCCAAATGAGAAGAGAAAGATACCTTTTCCATTAGGTTTTATAATCGTCTGCTATCTAGGACTTTAAGAGAAAATTACCCCAGAGAGTCAGCTATATTTCCTGACACATTAGAAGCATTAAAACCAATAGAATCAAAGACTACAAAGAAATATTTGACAATCCTCTTTAAAAATTTCACAGGCAAATGATTTATA